TAAGCTATTACTCTTAGTTCTTTTGGTTAGAATTCAGAGGACTATTAGTTTATACTTTCCTTTTTTGATCATATTTTCAACATACCTGTTACGACATATTGTCGATGATCATCTATTTCTTCTCTCTTCAACCTGGTTCAATTTGTAGGTGAAAACTCGTTTTCTAGTCCTCATCAACTTCTTAAGACTGTGACTTATATTAGCGTTCTATACAAGGCTCTCCAACTTGATATACACTGTGTCATGTGACATTGGCAATTATCATAACAAGCAGATTTTGATCTCTTTTTTAACACTCACTGATTAAAGTAATACCATGTGGTCATCAAATCCATTTTTGTTTAGATTGTCAGGACAATTTCTATTGATAAGTAGATGCATAAGTAGAAAATTTGAGATCACCATTTATCGGTGTGTCTCGTATTCAAAAGTAGGAATTTCTAGCATATCTGCACATCTGAGTTATATCAAACCAGTATATCTTCAGGTGAAAAGCATATTTCCCCTGAGGAAGCAAATACTGTACTGTAAAGTTTAAGTCTACTGAGTCATAGGAGTATGGAAATATTGAAATGAGGGAAAAGATTTGTAGCTCTAGATGAGTTTAGTGGTGGTCTGGTGTTCTCTTCGCTTTGATATTTTGTTGTGAATTTTATATCGCCAGGTTTGATGACATCTTAAGCGCTAACTTTATAAAGAAGCGAGGCGTATTCGGATATCACCTGCAAGTTTTATTGACGTTGTATGTTGAGGAAAGGAATTATTTATCACACCCTGAGCTCCTCATGAATACTTCAACCAATCCGACAACTGGACTGGTCCACATAACTCTGTGAACAATTTTGGCAATCGATTTTATAGATTGTATGTGTCTCGTCTTTTCTGGCAATGGGTGCTCCACCTTGCACAACATGCTGTGTATTGCTTTCGAACGTTTGTTTGCTATTCTGATTTCGAAAGGACGAAGCAATTGGTTGGCTGTTTCTGAGATATCTTTTATTTAGAGTAAGGTAACACATCTTTTGATTCGGGGCAATCACCCTGTGTTCTGTCCTGTTGACAAACATATTTTGATGAAGTTAGACGGATTCTCATTGACTTGAATACTTTGTGCATGTATTTTTCTTTGGATTTCTGTGGTGGTTGAGTGCTGTAATGTGTCTTAACTCTTGAGAGTAATGTTAGTATGCCGTATCTTTTGTGGACTGTAAGGTGTCTTTTGTTCCATGTGAGTATTTGTTTTGTATATGGTGGTTGGAATTCGGAGCATGCTCTTATGAGTACTTGCATAGTGATAGCAGCCAACTGTGCGGTGCTCCGGTGTTCTTTGTTTAACTTATATCTTTCGGTGTTTATTAGCATCATCAAAAATGTAATTTTCTCGCTTGACAAAGTGAGTTAATTATTTGTTTGCTTCCGCGCGGGTGGTTTTTGTTTTCTCTGTAGTAAATTATTCGAAGTGCTTTTTCTTTATAAACTGAGATGTTACTGAGATCTGGATCTCAGCTTTTAAGGATATTAGTACCGTCATAGTTGCAAGTACGTCTTGCTGACCACTGTCAGGCGATGAGAAGCCCTAGGTTAGTGCGTCTTGGCATTCTGCTCAAACCCTATGCATCTCAATTTTTGATTATTAATCAGTAAATTTATGTGAGGTACTGTTCAGTTTCTACATATTTATAAAGACGTGGAATCGCGCATGTGAAACATTAGTTGAATAATTTACATGAAGGAATCTGACACATATCACTGCTTGTTTAATTGAGTTGTCAATGAAAGTCAATCACTTCTCCTTTTAAATGATTTCCAAATTCTGGTAAGAAGAAAGCGTATGTCATGAAGAAATTTCTTTTGATAGCTGTATAATATTTTGGATTTTCTCTAATAAGATTCAAATAACCGGTTTGGTTCATTAATTAGCCTTATTGTAATCTCCATTTTGAAGTTATAAGCGTAGGAAAAATGTAGTACCTTAACCAATGTGCTGAATATATGGGGCTATTGAAATGCAGTTTCCTAAATATGAATTACCTTGAAACTGGACAAAGCACCTCATCCTCATCTGAAACCGAATGTAACCAAAGTAAAGGTCGACTAGATCATATTAAATTACTTGGTGATTCACGTATATCCTTCCTGAGTTTATTTTGTTTCTTTATTGACAATATCCTATGAATGACTTATTTGTGTGATCCAAGTAGTGTGAACGTGTGATACAAAGAGAATGTTTTTGGCTTGTTGACATTCAGCATGGATAAGTAGATTACCTAGAGTTTTTATGTACCTGTTTACTGACTAGTCAGTATCTTAACTAACCTTCTGATTTTTTCATAATGCCAAGGAAGCAATAAATATGAGTAGAATCATAAATTTTAGCTACCCTAACCTATTTTATTGGATTCTAGTGGTCGTGGTGGCTTTTATATATTCCTGTTTTGCACAGTTTCACTTGTGAAATGTGTACGCAGAGGATTCACTCAATATGTAGTTGACTGTATAAGTTTTTTAAGACATTCCAATGAAAAAGCCAACTATAGTTTAAATGTTCTCAAACTTAGATGAAATATTGACTCCTGTAATATGAAGCTTGACCTAAGTAATTCAGCATTCAATCTTTGAGATTTTAAGTCATCTTCAAAGGTTAAAAGAAACATGACAAAACAAGTGAACAAAACGATGTCAATACCAGGAATAAGCTTATCACTGAACATCAATCTTCCGAGTACATGTAGATGAAAGCGTCAAAACCTATAACGCATGCATTTCATCCACCAGGCTTCTAAGACTACACTTCAGCAGTACACTTGGTTTCTAAAACTACTCACATATCGTATGGGTGTGAGCAACAGACTAAAATCGCAACCACAAAACGAATCATATCTTATTATTACTAAGATTCTACTAGACACGAATTCCACCACTGGGTATATCTCTACCGACAAACAAAAATTATCAAGTATTGTCCAGAAATGAATTGTTAATTAACATCCAGTAAGCCAGAAAAGGACTCTTAATGTTCTCTCAGTGTTCCTCAAGGAGTTTCAAGGATACATCTCATTAATTTCGTTTTAGTTTTTATCATACTTTTTATTTTCCTGGATTTTACTGCACTACATTGCGAATAAGTTTTCATACATAAGAAGAAAATATCTCGCCGTTAAAACTACTTCTTCAGTAGAATCATCTTGAAAAGTAGATAGAGTGAATTCCTAAGGAATCTACGTACCTCAAACGAGATTGTGAATGTTTGAGGAAAGCTCTTACTGTCGAACGAAATCAAGTAGTTAATTCTTCAACCAGGAAATTTCTGCTTTCACTTCATTGAAAAAGCCTGACTTAAGACACCAAATTTGTTTGGCATATTCACAACCACCCTTGCATTCACTTTTTTTCTTGAATTTAATGAGGTCAAATTACAGTTATTGATTAAAATATTCGCTTATATTTTTTATTTGAAGTATATTCTTTGTAGACGGGACTTCAAGTGAATATAGAGAAGACAGAGGTGATGAAGATACCGCACCAACAACAACAAACTCCAGTCACCATCAACGGGAGAACTTTAAAGGAAGTAACCTCCTTCACCTATCTAGAAAGCACTGTTTCAACTACAGGTGGCACCGGCCAGGATGTCAAGGTCAGAGTCGGAACAGCAAGACAGGTGTTCATTAGCCTGAAACCAGTATGGAGATCTTCTGGACTCAGCATGTGGAACAAGATACGGATTTTCAACACCAACGTCAAGTCAGTGCTTCTGTATGGCTCAGAGACTTGGCGCGTCACGAAAGGCATTTCCAATAAACTACGGACATTCATCAACAACTGCTTACGCTCGCTACTAAAGATCAGATGGATTGCCAGAAAGAATAAGCAACAAGGAACTCTGGGAACGAACCAACCAAGAACCTATCACCCAACAAATATGCAGCAGGAAGTGGAGATGGATTGGACATGCACTGAGAAGGCCGACTGGGGACATCACGCGTCAGACCAGTTGCTCAAGTGGAATCCCCATGGGAAGCGACGAGTTGGACGTCGGTGCGGAGGGTGACATGGAGGAGATCGTGCGAGGAGGAAATGAGAACTTCTGGGCTGTCGTGGAACCAGGTTCAAAAGATCTCAGAGAACAGAGGTCACTGGAGGCGTGCTACTGAAGCCCTATGTTCCACTAGGAACTCAAGGGACTAATAATAATAATAATATTCTTTGTAATCAGTCTGAAAAAAGAAATTGACTGGAATCAGTGTGAATGAAATACACATAATCATCACAATTTTGACTCATTAAATTTTGAATCTGTTGAGCCATAGTCTCTCAAGATATACACATTGAGTTACTTGTGTATACCAAACAAGTGAATTCACTTTATCATGCTTCAATAAAATTTCGGTTAACCTATCAAGACATCTGTAAAAGGCACCATTAATAATTAGAATAGTGTAAAAGACAAAAGTGGTGGTTGGAATATGCTAATGGGGAAAAATGTAGAGCTCTTAGCCTAGTAAAACCAAAGTGGTATCGACTTTGTTTTCAGTTCCGATTTCAGGAATTTATCAGTGGTTAAACCCTACAGTGTTACTTGTAAAGTTTGCCCAACTTTACAATGTTAGACACATAGTTTATTCCTGCACTTACTGAAGCAGGTAGTAGACTTGACTTTTGCATTTCAGTTACTCTTGGCACTTAAGTAAAATATACTTAGTAAAAAAATTAGTTCTACCTTGTTTAGCATTTCTAAAAATTCACCCAACTGTCCAGAATAAGTAATTTGATCGCTTTTAGGTTAACTAAATACTTTCAATCAACTGTGTACGTAAAAATAATCAATAGAAAATTTACAAACCAATAAACTGATTGCCTTATTTCTTTCTTTGTGACTAGGCTAAAGTTTTGGGATGCACAATTTGTGTAGATATTGATCAGCGTATGTAGAATTATATCAACCAATCATATTTAACTGAAAAACCATCTAAAACTAGGGGAACAATTTTGCCATAGTAGGTGAATAATACAATCAGGGTAATGAGCGAAAGAGATGAACTTGTAGATTGTATAAGCATAAAGAATCGTGGATTCAGTCTTTTCCGGTTTCATTGAAGACAAAATAACATCTCACAGTGATGGCTTCGAAATCTTTTATGGATGTGGTAAAGGATATGAGAAGAGCGTCAAATTTCCGTAGAGCTTCAGTATATAATGAAGATGTATGTCATTTTATTGTCAATAAACTGTACTTGAGTTTCTTTTCATAGCTATGGTTACATTTATTATTGTGAAGTTTAATAAAATATTTTGATTTAGGAGTCTGTACGATAAGAATCTTTCATTAATTTTACCATTAAAATTAACCGGAGTTTTTGAAAAGATGTAAAATTTGTGAGTTTGACCTCATGATGATGAAGTTCAGGGTCACGACTCTATAATTTCTTTAGTAATACTTTATTTCAGCCTTTTGTAATGATGGTCCAGATTCGTTTGCTTTAGATTCTCCAAGATAATCTAGCAGGGTTCGGGGAATTATGTTCATTAGAACCAAAACGATGTACTTTCAAGTCATCAGTTTTTGATTGGAACGTGTTAAAAGTTATAAATATTAGCTGAACGACCTTTAGTGTTATCCTCTTTGCATTTCTTAAGCATACAGTCACCAGTAACCGGAAATCAACAGTATGAAATATTATGCCTTCTTTATCCATGAGTTCTTCCATGTCAAGAGCTTCAGTCGATTCAACGGTCAGTATTCAGAACAAAGTTATTTAGTTTCATTGGATAGTTGTTTTACAAACTGTTTTTTTGAAATTACTACTCATCTGAAAATATAAAAATTGGTCTTTCGTTATAATCGTAAATTATGTAAATATCAAATATGAACCTTTCTTGTTACTTTGGCAATTTCATTTTATAGACTTTCGGATAAAGATTTAACCTGATAGAATTGAATAACTTTTATGTTAGGCCAATGACTCATAGAGGAAAAATTTTTTAATATCCGAATGAGGTAAAAAACTTAATTTCCGATGTTTTTCCACCCCACGGAAGTCGCTTTTTCTTGGGATAAAGTCTCCACAAGTATGTCCAACTAATAAGTGGAGATTTAAGTATATGATAATCTGTGCAAGTTTTTTTTATATGAGAATGGCCCCTCCACAAGATCGTAAAACATTATCTCATTGGGGTTTTATTAGTATACTTCCTCTATTTTATAATTTTAAGTGTGATTTATTTACTGTTATTTACTTGGAGCACAAGTTACCGTTTGTTAAGTAGGTGTTGATTTTGCAATCAACAGTAATCTGATCATTAGTTTTATTTTAAATCCTGTTACATTCACCTCCACTGATACGGTATATTTGCTGTCTCAAGTGAGAAAGTTTTTTACATCTCACTCTGATTATTTTATAACCACATTTATACTTGCATAACATTGAACCATGAGTAGAAATTATTTTTACCATTCGTTGGCACAATTAATTGTTGTATTGAATGTGCTTTATTTCATTGAGTGATTGATAGAAAAGTTTATTTCCACTTTATAAACTGAATAAAACAATTTTGCATTTCATGCTCTATCAATCTAAAGAGGTTGTAATTTAACGTTTGAATTTATCTTCAGTCACTTGGGTATGTAATATGTAGCTATTTAAGCAGATCACATAATGATTAGCTTTTATTTTAAGGATATTTGTGACCCTTGGTTTATCATCAGACACTTTGCTGGTATTCCAGTTATCGACACAAAATGGTAGGTCGAAGTAACCGACATACCATTTTCAGGGATTTAAAAAATAACTGACTTTTCACTCATATTTCTTTGAAATCCTTGATTTGGAAGTGAAGTTGTTTATTAGTTTACCAGTCTAATATGGTTTGTACTGGCTTGGTCGATTTTTCACAGCCCTTTAAAATACTTTTTGAGTGGAAGTTGAAATGAGAAATCCACGTTTTGTTTCTTGTTCATATTCTTCATTTACATTGAGGATTTTAGAAACAATAATAAGATTTGTAACCCCTTTTGGCAGTGATATTCACAGACAGTTACTTTTTGTTGTACATTTGTAAATGTACAAATGTTTACAATAACAAGTTCTAACTCAGTAATTAAATAGTAGTGTTCCCGTTTCAAAGTCTAACGGTTATCTGATCCACACCTTGAGGTTCGCAAATGTCTACTACTATGAAAACAAAAAATAAGAGGAAATAGCTTGACAGTTATCTCGGATTTTCACTGTTCTGTTCGCTGACGTTTATTTGTAGCTAAACGTTTCTTTAAATTAGTTACTTCATTATTCCCTTTTTTAGCACAGTAGACAAAACTTAAACTTTGCAATCATAAACAGTGGATACAAAATGGAGAAAAGTCTTTGGTTATTCATAACTGTTTTGTAAACTGTAAAATATACGTCCATAAAACTATGAAGAATAAGATTTTCAGAGCATTGTGGTCTGGTGCAGAAACACACATGCAGTAGACTTTTAGCAGACACTTACAAAAGTCAAGAACTCGAAGTCCTGGGTCAGTTTAATATACTTTAGGTAAAATAAAGGACTTTAAACATACCACTTAATTGTAGCTAGTGGAGGAATGCAGGACGCATGTTTCATTCTATTTGAGACTCGTTACAATAAATATTTAAGAAATATAAAGGAATCTGCATGGAAGCCTATATGCCAATAGTGGTCGAACAATTTGGTCCACTAAGACAACGGGGAATTACAAACATATTAATAAATAGTAATAGCTAATACCAGTTTTAAAAGAGGTATCTATAGTACCGCAGTGCCTTAAAAGACCATGCTTTGGTGTTTGAAGAGATGGTTACTTGGTTTGAATTTCAGTGTGAACAACATCACTCATTGGGGTGCAGGTACACCCAGCTGATGAATCCTGAATAGGACGAAACGAGCGTCCTGGATATCTTTGCTAGCCATAACCAAGTAAATTATTATACTACTTCGGTCCTTCATTTAGCTGTGAATGATAAGTTTTAAATAACCGCGTCTAGAGCTGTAAGCTTTTGAAGAGTAATTTGTGCATATGTAGCTCACAATCCATTGTTAACTGAATAGAATTGTGGGTACCTTATAAGAGTATTTCTTTTGATGTATAACACATAGCAACACAGTATTATATACTGAATGTCACTACGAGGACAAATCACTGCTCATATCACATTATATTGACTTTTAATACAACGTGGATAGGTGGACAAGGACTAATTACCGTATATTAGTCAATCGAATCAACATTTATAATGGGTAACAGGAACGACAAACACCCATGAAATCAAAATTATGGGCTGAAAAACCATAACAGTTAGATTTCGAAACTTGCGTATTCGCCTTTCTGTGATTATTTTGCTCGAAACATTATCCAGTAAATTATACCTTATCATTGTGTGCCACATTTCACATACATATATCTAATATGGAAATTCATTGTACCATAGTTGGCGAATTTCATTTATGATGAGAACAGGGGCCACTAACGTGGAGTACTAAATTTGCTGTGATGTAGATGTGACTTCCAATATTGTAGGTCAGCATTACCAAACAAACTGAAATAATTATCTACTAGTATCTGGTTTCTTTTTTTTAGTTGACAGATGTGGAACTGTAATGACCAGAATATTTGAATGACAGCAGCATTTGAGATAGTAAAGTGAACTGTCACACAGGATGAGGATGGTAATTGCTTCTAAATCTCGAGGCTTTGACGTTCTTTCTTGGATGTCTCATCATTTGGATTGGTGACTACATTAGAATTTGTTATATAAAGTATATGTTCTACTGATTAGTCAAAGAACATATCTTTTGAAGTTTTAATAAAGAAACCTCGTAAACTTTGATTATTTACAGGTCTTCATCAGCTAATGTCAGTGAAACTTAGATAATTCAACCTAATAATAGACAAATAGTCATTTTTGTATTCCAGTTTGTTTTGTTGCAAAATATCTAGTATTGTATGTAGAAGTAGAGATTTTTTTTACCTGAATAAATGATAAGATTTCTGCCATACATAGTTTAACCTTTTCACTATGTTTTTCTACTTGTTTCTACAGTTTCTGATAACTCGTTTACCAGAGAAAATTATGTTACAAATCTTCTCGCATCTTACCCATCCGGAACTATGCAATATAGCACGTGTATGCAAAATGTGGCGGCGCTTAGCATACGACCAGTCATTGTGGCAGTCACTTAACTTAAGACCTGAATATGGTGGGATATTTGTAAGTGATTTGATTTCTTTTTGGGTAAAAATCAATCTTAAACTTTTAAGAATTTTGACAATGAAGAAAATATTTTCATTTTGGAAAACTGCATTAACTTTTTTAAAAGTTTAAAAATGGCGTGTTGGAGTTTGTAAAAACAGTATGCGTTCAAAACAAGTGTTCATGAAACTTCAAATAATTTACATATGGCATATCTTGAGTTTGTAACTGCTTTAATTTACTGTGAATACAGTAATACCTTTTCGTCAAGTTTTAGGGGCTAGTAATGCGACTTAGGATTGATATCATGGTCGGATTGATGACAGCACCTATTGGATATTCAAGAAACTCGTATATTAGTGGACATTCATTGACTTAGAATGATAAATGAACGGTCAGCAAATCCTAAACATTACTCCTTATATCATTTCTTTGTGAAAAGACAATATATTCATCTAATTATCTCTTAAAATTTCCAGAGCTTTGATGTCAAAAGTATTTTAAGTGTAAGAATGTCCATTAGTATAGAAACATTTACTAACATCTATTAAAGTTGGAGATACTAAAGCAAACTCCTCCTCACTGAATCCATAATGCAATTTGAAATCACAGCAAAATTAAATAACTATTAGGTTGACATTTTGTTCGTAAGTAAAGAGTGAGGTGTAGTTTCCACTTTCAATGAGAAAGTTTAACTTTATCCTTATAATAACTTGCTACTTAATTTGAATCAAGATTAGAGTGACAGCATGAATGATCTTGGTTAATTTGGAGTGGAATTCCTTTGCGGAGATCAGCCGAACCATGATAATAGTCGATCGCAGCTATTATTTATATTTCATCAGCATTTAAGTATGCCGCACTACTTACTGCGTACTAAGAATACGTAATGTCGTATATAATGTAAGTATTCTAAGTGTAAAATATTAATTTTTGTCTCGTAAATTTTAAAAGTAAACTAACTCCTAATGGTTTGATAATTTTAAATTGTTTGACAAATGACATTTCAGTGAATTAAAAGAAGTTAATTAAATGTAATGATTTCCCTTTGCTACATAGGGCCGAATTGCTCGACCTGTGTTGTTAGATGGGCTCTTATGCGGATGTCTCGATACTGACGGAAATTTGCGATGTTATAATGATCTTGGTGACTAGCAGAGGAATCCAGGACGCGCGTTACGCCCTATTTGGGACTCGTCAGCTGGATGCGCCTGCACCCCAGTGAGTGATGTTGATCCCATCGACGCTCAAACACTGTACCTTTCGCTTCAAAAGCAAGACACGTTATCCACTGAGCCAAAAGTAGCATCACCACTTGTGCAACGGGTGTCCGTTGTTGTGATGGTACTTGTAACTTCCCGTTGCTTAAAAGGGCCGAAATGCTTGACCTCTGTTAGCAGATGAGCTCCTGGGCTCAACTGGGGGTCAGTGGATAACGTGTTTGGCGTTTGGAGCGAAAGGTATCGGGTTGGAGCCTCGGTGGAAATAATATCGCTCACTCGGGTGCAGGTATACCCAGCTAGTGAGTCCCATATAAAAGGAAACGCGCATCCTTGATTCCTCTCCTAGTCACTAAGATCAGTAGAAATCAATTTATATTCTTCAACCTTGATCAAACAAATCTACGTCAATAAAATATAGTTATAAACTGATTTACAACTTACTACTTGACCTCTTTTAAAATAAACTAAGTGGTCACTGAGATAAAATCGTTGAATATGAAATTCATCCAACAAAATGGCGTTTACTGGTTGGTCTCATCAGCAAACATTGGTTCTATGTTAAATTTGACCTTAAGATTACAGCAACCTGACATATAATAATTACAACAATGACTTGAAATAGCATTTTTAGTTGAGAGGTGCGGCCTGATTCGTTGAATATATCTGTGGTACATTGGTTGAGATAGTTGGTTTTCAACCATTAGTCGCAGGCCAGGTTAAACTATTATTTTTCATTGCTGAAAGCACAATCCTTAACATGATTGTAGAGAGCATTGCACTATTATATTCATTTTCAAGGTTATAATGATTTTTGTTGAAGTTAACCGCACCATCCTACAAAAAGGTGATGCAGCTAGCTCTAATTACACTTCATCAGAATGCTACCGTTATTGGTACTTACTGGTAATTTAATCGATTGCGAGCACTGACTGAAAAAGTAAGTGGACTGTGGTGAGCTTAGCAGAACACAGTTTTCCTTAACCTCTAAAATCCCAAACGTATTCCTTAATTCTTTCATAGAGTGAGGAATATTGATCACACACAGGTAAGCTAATTACGATAAAATATGATGCATTCTTCTCTGGAATACAATTCAGCCCTGAGAATTAGATGTGAGATTTCTGAAAAAAACACTAGTATTATATCACTCTTAGTCATTTTTTTAGTATTATAGATTAAATCTACGATACACGTCACTTCAGAATGCGAAACAAAATATTGAATAAAGCAAACTATTAGACACCCGAATTTTCTATAACCTAGGTCTTCAGATGCATATTCTGCCGACAATCTTAGACAACACCAGAACACAAATAGGTTATCAAGTGAACACAGGCTTTTAGCACCAACTACTGTTATTATTTGTCCCGCTTCTGTAGCACGTCTTCAGTGCACTCTCTCCCCTGAAATCTTTTGAACCTGGTTCCACAACAGCCCACAAGCTTTCATTTCCTCCTCACACCATCTCCTCCATGTCACTCTCACCTCAGACGCCCAACTTGCCGTCTCCCGTCTGGATTCCACTCGAGCACTTGGCCCGTCATGTCCCCAATCGGTATTCTCAGTGTATGCCCAACCCATCTCGACTTCCTTCTGCACATTTGTTGAGCGATAGCTTCTTGGTTGGTTCGTTACCCAGCCAGAGTTCCTTGTTGCTTATTCTTTCTGGCAATCCATCTGAGCTTCAGTAACGCGCCAAAGTAGGCAGTTGTTGATGGATGGATGTAGTTTGTTGGAAATGCCTTTCGTAATGTGCCAAGTCTCTGAGCCATACAGAAGTACTGACTTGACTGGATTGGTGTTGAAAATCTGGATCTCGCTCACGCTTTATGCTGACTGCAGTAGATCTCCACACTGGTTTCAGCCTGATGAACGCCTGTCTTGCTTTTCTGATCCTGGCTTTGATGTCCTCGTCTGTGCCGCCACCTGTAATTGAAACAGTTCTGCCTAAATAGGTAAAGGAGACTTCTTCCTTTAAGTTTCTCCCTTTGATGGTGATTGGAGCTTGTTGTTGGTGGTGGTGTTGTTGGTTGGGTATCTTCATCACCTCTGTCTTCCCTATATTCACTTGAACTCCCGTCTTCGCTGCACTTCCTCGCATCTTTTGTCAACTTGTTAGTTTTCGCCTGAAGATCTTTAAGTATGTGTGACATCAGATGCAAGTCATTGACGAAATCCAAATCTTCTTGGATCTTTTCCCCAGTTCAGCCTATCTCCTCTTCTCCTCTTCACTGTTTGTTGCATGATCCAGTCCACTACAATCAGGAATATCATGGGTGATAGTAGACAGCTTTGTTTTACTTCTGCCTTCACTTAAAAAGCATCACTGAGCTTCCCATTGTGAATTACTTGGCATGTGGCATGTCATATAGTTTTTGAATGAGATTGATAAAGTTTTGTGGTATTGCATAGTGTTGAAGCAGCTGCTTGTCAAATTACTTGTCAGTCGACGCTGTCAAAAGCCTTCTCAAAGTTGATGAAGTTGAGGTAGAGGGTGAACTGCCATTCTATACTCTGTTCTGTGATGATGCGCATTGAAGCGTTGCAATTTGGTCAGCACATGATTTGTACTTCCTGAATCCAGCTAGCCTGTTCCGGTCGTAGTTTTGAATCCAGCGTATCCTTTAGTGTCTCGAGGATGATGCGGCTCAATCTAGAGTGAAGCAAATAACATGACTAGCTCACTGATGAATGTGTAAACTTTCATTTTTAATTGTTTTAAAAATCGAGATGTTTCACAAACATGTTTTTTAGTGGATGGTGGAATTTACAGTAAAAAGAACAGCATCGACTCGTTTACTAATCAGTTATGACTATCTGATGCGTATATACGTATTACCTTATTTTGAATATTTGTTCGATGGAGAAAGGTTATTTTAATACACTATCTTACAAGTTATGATATCGATAAAGCTATAATTAATTGCTTATGTGAAGCCAATGACACCAGCCAACAAAACGCGCTAATGAACACCATCCAGTACATCTAACAAATAGAAAAATATAAGCACACTTGCAGCTTTGTAACTGAACATAGCAAATTTATGACATTTTGCTCCAATGACAGGTCCTTCAAAAGGTCTACATCATATCGTTTCTCGAAGATGATGAGTCTTTGTCGAAATAATTTCCTTTTCTCCTGTAACTCAATGATTCATCAGATATAAACACAAGAAGAAGTACAACATAGTTCACTTGTCAACATAGTGGGTTTTTTGGCAATTTTATTGAAGTCAGAAATACTTATAAAGTATGTTTATTTCAACACACTTGAAGAAGAAAATTCCTCTAACTGTCTCTTGTTGTTAGTGAATTTTTATTTTAATACTATGTACTACAATGTTAGTTACTAAGATAACTAAGTTAATGACGTATGTAAAGGATTTCGATAAAGCTTTCACACTTTTCAAATGATATAGTTTTGTACTGAAAGAAAAAAACGAGTGAAGTTTCTACATAAATTCAATAAATGATAGTTGTGCTTACAATATTGTGTAAAAGTTTATTTTGTAGAGTTTTAGGCTACTAACAGATATTGGAATCAAATTCATGAAATCACCTCAAAAGGACAGGGATTTATAAATGGAAATTTCAAACGTTTCATAAAGTTGGAGTTTAAAATTAAATAAAAATTGAAATATTTGAACAAGATAATACAGTTCAAATGATGAAACATTTAGCTGGGTGTGTGATTTGATCTACGTGTTATCAAGGTCACGATTTGCATTAAATAGTGTATTAACTTATTATTTTGTAGGCACAGCTCTAAGCTCATACATCTAGGTTATTGGCTAA